CCAGCTCAAATCATTGTCATGGCCCAGTGACGTCATTTTATGACGTAATTTTATGACGTTAATTTGTACCGTTACTATGACGTTAGTTGTGCCTAGACTTAAAAGCAGGCTGTGTGTCTTTATAGGAAATTAACAGATAGATAATAAAATAGTCTTTATTATAAAATAATTACAAATTAAATTATTAAAACTAAACATTAAATACCATGCATACCTACTGGAAATAAACTTACAGAAGAAACTGTAAAATAATTACTCAATGCAATAAATGCAAATTCTTTCACATCCATTGTTAGAGCATTATATAGATACAATTTCCTGTAGGGTGTCCAATAAACTTTTCTTTGAAGTTCTAACCATTTACGGTCCACTAAAGCTAGGCTGTGTCCATGATGACTGTGTACATCACAAAGCACGTATCTTCTAGAGACCCCACGCCAATGTTAAACTATTAAACCAAATTAGCGCTACCTTGTGTTTGGAGCTGGAACTAAAATGACAATTGACAGACGGCGGTAAATTCAAATTGTAATTTTTAGGAGCAGGTAGTAGTTAAATTAAATTTTAAATGATTTCCACATAAATTATTTTATAAAATAAAGTATGGAACTAGTAAGTTCGAAACTTTTATTTTACAAAATAATTTAAGGAATTAATTTGTTATAAGGGGTCTGATGTGGAGAGTTGGTTCTGCATATTATTATTAAATAAATATAAGATATATCAATAAATAATAAAATAGAACATTCTTAAAATATGTTTATTAATAACTTAAATAAATATTATTAGATAAAAATAAATACAAATAATAATACATATTTAAGAAATACTTACTTGGAGCAAATAGATATATAATCTCAAATCTTTAAAATACCTATCAATAATTTAAATGTGAAGTAGAGACTAGGATATTAAATTTTATTAACACTAAAGTTATATATTTTATAAATGTCTTTTTAACCGAGGACAAATGTAATATAGGTATTGTATTAAAAGGTGAATCCTTTTAACTATTCATTCAATGATAAATAGGTATTTTCCTTCCAAATACAGATGGTGGTATTACTCTCTTATGTGAAAAATGATTTCGGAATCTAGTCCAGTGATAAATTGATTATCAATTAGTTGTTGTACCCGTTTGTCTTTTTATGATGCAGATGCATGGTGAATCAATGAAGTTTTTCTCGAAGTTTTCAACGTAGCACCAAAATTATTGCAAAACACAGTAGGAAATAGAAAAGCGAAACATCACAATTTTGCAAATAACTAAGACAAAACTATAAACAGAAACCAAAAGCCAAAGCCAACAAAAAATCACTAAAATCAGACGGAAAAATGAGATTAACCAAGAACATAAATACACGTCACATATTTGGAGTTTTTCTCCCATAAAGCTTAAAAATGGAGTAAGAAATCAAAATTTCACCAGTAGCCCCATCTAGAGTTTGGAGCAAATAGCATAAAAAATGTCAGTTGTGACCTTGGTCATTCACGTGGAACCTCTATGTGCTTTGTGGTGTACATCATGCATGCAATACTAAAATATATCAATTTGTAGGCTTTAAAGCGCATAACATATGAAGTACGAGTATATACATCCAGTACATCGCCATAAAAGTGTGACGTAATTCTGGCTCCACTGACAGTTAATTCTAACCAAACTTTTAACAGTATTTGACATATGCATTTTTACTGTTTTTATTTTTTTTTATTAAATTTTGTTTGCAGATCATAAATAGCTATTTTTCTACGATCACTATCCAAAGTAAGCTTCTGCGCTTTGAAATACAACCGCAAAATTGACGTTTTCCGCGAACTGACATTAAATGGCAGCTTTATCGCTCGCCGGATGGAAAATTTGACAGCTTTGTTGCTCGCCTAATTTAAATTAGACATAATATAATACTATTTGTTTTTAATAAATGATTTTCAAGTTATTTGTTCGTAGTTTGATGTTTTTTGTTTTATTATCCAAGTTAACATTGACTTTGAATATCAACTCCGTTTTTTATGATTAACGTAGACACAGGCAATACATTATACACAAATAGCTATTGTGTACTAAGAGCTTCGAACATATATTACTAGAGCCATCGTCCAAATGGACCTTGTTTTGGTACAGGGGGAAAAATAGTGTCCAGCATTCCCATTGGTCTGTTTCGTTTTGCTTGGCATGTCAAATCGTTCGAAATGATCAGAACTGTCATTTTATTTTTGATTTTCATTAATCTCTAGCTTATTTTTGAAGTTTATAAGTGATTTTTTTATATTTTATTACTTTACTGATACACATTTTAACAATGGTGAGAGTTTGTGTAAGTTTTACTTAGAAATATGAAAAGGTCATTTCACAAGTGAGTAACCATTAGCGTCTCTACCATTTTCTTAAAAGAAACATAAGTATCTACATTTTATGCAGAAGGTCGTTAAACATGAATTTAAAATAAATGGTAAATTTAGTGAATTAAATTTAAAGAACTTGTATAATGTATGAGAAATATTGTTGTAGATTTTGGACTCTACTGAAAAGTTAAAAAAAAAATAATCATAATGTTTCAATATAAACAAGCTTTTCGTTTTTAAGTCATTTTATCCACGATACATATGTTAAAGACAATATTGCCCCACTCACCCACTTAAAATTAGTTAACATTTAAAAGTGCGCGCCAATCGTCACTTCCGCTCTAGACAAAGGACAGTGAAGAAGAAAATCAGTTGCACTGTGGTTGCACTTCAGCTCTTGAACAGTATACTATTGAGTATTGACTCTCTTCATACAGTTTAAATGTTAAATTATGGTATTGTAAGCCTCGATAAGGCCACAGTCTTATTTGTTGTCTTTGTTGTTGTGTTCGAAATAAAATAACCAAAAAATACAGTCCACGATTTTATTCCCGGCCTAAGTGCCGAACATGCTGGTCCAGATCGAACGCCGGATTCAACAGTGAAATTAAGCGAAGCAGGGCCAAAAGTTGCCGCTAATATTAAACTGCTTAAGATATTAAAAATAAGTGTCCTGTGGGTTACTGCTCCTCAAATAAGCATCAGGAAAAGAAAAAGGTATTTGCATTTGCCGATATTCCAAATCATTGTCCTCCATATTGGATTTGATAAACACAGAAGACGAAGGTGAGGTGAGTCGTGTCGACTTCTTCAATTTCGGCCGTTTGTGACGTTGGAGCACTGCGCACGCGCTAAGTTCAAATAAATCAATTTTGTGATCGATATCATAAAACAAACAGAACATAGTACTGATGAACCATCTCTGGAAATAAAGGATAAATTACTGGTAAGAAAGTAAGATTTAAGCGAATGTTTTGAACAAATCCGTGATTTAGACACCAAAATTACTTGCTTGGATCAAAATCAAAGTTTAACAGAATTAGAAAATGATGAAATTTCAAATTTTATGACTCCACAGTATTCATCAACAATTTTATTAAAAAATGTGAGGAAGACTCCTCCTCAAAAAGTAATTCAAGTAAGTGAGGCCTCAAATATTTCCTTACCTAATATTAAAATTCCCAATTTCAGTGGAAAACATATTAACGAATTTAAACCTTTCATGGATATGTTTGAAGCAGTAATTAATGTAAATAGCAAATTAAAAAATGTTGAAAAACTATCATTTAAAAAGTTATCTTGAAGGTGAGGCATTCAACCTCATAAGTAATCTTCCATTAATAAATGAATCGTATGATCAAGCTTTACATATTTTAAAGGCAGAGTACAAAAATTAAACTGCTCTAATTAACTCGCATATTGATTGTATATTAAACATACCTTCTATACAAAAAGGCAATCCCACAGCCTTAAAATAATTTGTCTCCTGTATAAAACAACATACAGGGGCACTAAAAATTTTAGGACAATCTGTAGACAGCTGGGATGTCATGTTAGTAAGAATTTTCACAAAAAAATTAGATTATTTTACTAATCAGGCATATCAGTTGCAAAGAAATAAATCTACAACCCCAACATTAAATGAGTTTCTAGAATTTTTACAACAACGAATTTTATCATTTCAGGAAATTCCGCAAACTAAAGTTATTGCAAAGGAAAAGGTTCAAGTTCATTTGACAACTAAAACTAAAAATGATAAATGTATTTTTTGTTCAGCTACAGATCACAAGCTCTATAACTGTGATCAATTTAAACAATCAAATATCAATGAGTGCATTTCCTTTGCAAATAAAAAGCAAAATTTGCAAAATATGTCTTAATAACCATTTTGGAAATTATAGGTTTTCATTTAGGTGTCAAAGTTGCAGAAAGGGCCATAATACAATGTTGCATCTTGAAAAGCCTCTTGCAAATGATGAAGTTCATTCAATTGACCCTGAAACCAGCCAAACTACTAGTATTCAACTGCTTAATAAAAACTCCCAAGACCGTCAGATGGTATTGTTGCCTACTGTCAAAGTAAGAATAAAATGTAATCATGATGAGTTTATCATTGCCAATTGCCTATTAGACCGTGGTTCTCAAGCGTCATTTATTACCAGTAGATTAGCTACAAATTTGGTTATTAAAACTCAAAACTGCAATTTAAAAGTAACTGGCATCTCCCAAAATACATCAAATGTTCAAAAAATGGTACATATTGAGTTAGAATCTCTGATCAGTAATTACAAATTAAATACAACCTGGTATGTCGTTGATAATATCACTTCTCATTTTCCTGATTTTAAAATTGATGTTTCAAACTTAAAATTACCAAGTGACATAACACTGTCTGATCCAGAATTTAATACTCCTAAAAACATAGATATTCTGCTTTTAATGCAGACATATTTTTTTAAATTATTAGAACAGGCAACTTTAAAATTCCTGGTTCCAATCTCATACTTCAAAATACCTTGTTAGGTTATATTGTAAGTGGAACTTCCGCCTTACAAAATACAAATGCAGTATGCAATCTAACAATTCATTCTTTTCATTCAACTTCGAGTCTTGAAAAACTTGTTAATAAATTTTGGGAAACTGAAAAAGTACCTGAATTATTTAAAGAACATAATACTGAACAGGAAGCCTGTGAAAATAGTTTTCAAGCTTCTGTTGTAAGAAAAGGTCAAAAATGACTGGTGGTTTTCAAGAGCAGCTTTTAATAATAAAATTATTTTTATGTTCCTGTTTTGCCCACTGCAGGAGTCTGACCAGAGTATTAGGATTTTCACAGTTTCAGGAACATGCAATTCAATATGCTTTAGCAAACAAGAGCCCACTTCTTGAGCTCCACGTCCAGCACTTCCTTCTACCCATATGTAGCAAAAAGCTTTATTATATTTGCAAGAGTGAATTCCTGTATTGTATAAGCAAATTTGCCTTTTATAAAATATGACATTAGTTGGAATCCTCGGCAATCGGAGAGTTTTCTCCATGTCAAAGGTAAGTACTTCTAGAGTTTCATCTCTCCTAACTCTTTGGATGTCATCGTTCATTTTGTTTCTGACTTCTTCGTGATAATTTAAATGAGTGGTATGCTCTTGGGTGAATTTTTCTTTGTCTTCATTATTTTTTGCTGATTTTATAGCAGCATCCATTTTGTCACACAAATTACATGAATCTTTCTTTAAAGGCTTATGCCTCAAATTAAAATTGGAATAAAAAATTCTTTTATATTTTTCATAACTTACAGGATTAGGAACTTCTTCAGAATATAGTCGATGCATTTTTTCTATAGTCATATCCCACATAGCACACGGATGTCTTATGGACGTCTAAAAGACGTCCTACAGGGACATAAAGGACGTCCAAGGGACGTCCTATTTTGGTACCGGGACGTCAATCGGACGTCCAATGGACGTCCTAATGTCCCGTTTCCGTCCATCTTAGGGACGTCCCTGGGACATCCCAAAAGGACGTCATAGGGACCATTGAGGGACGTCATAGGGACGTAAATCAGACGTCCGAGGGACGATATTTGACCATAATCCATAAAGGGTAATAATAACAAAAATGTTAACATCAAAAGGGCTTTATTTAACAACTTTTATCCTGAAATAACTAGCTAGAGTAAAATGTTTTCAGTTTACAAAAAAAAAACAGGAATGAATTAAATTAAACATACAGGGCTGGTAAGATGAAACCTTGGATCCTACTTATAGCTTGTGTTGATATAAAATTTATTTTGTTCCAACTTTCCGCCATTAAGGTCTTTTCTTTTCGCCAGCGGCTACCGCCAATACACATCACTTATTCTCACCTCAACAAAAAACACTCACTTATAACCACTGGACGTCCTATTTAGGTCCGGGACCAACCGGACCAACAAGGGACCAAATCAGGACGTTCATGGGACGTCCTGTGTCCTGTGCTATCTGGGATGACTTTCTAAATACTCATCATCATGTGCTTCTTCACGTCTGTAGTGTGGTTTATATTTCGGTATTTTTTTAATGTGATTAATAACCTTATTTAATCGCTCATTAGATATTTTATTGCAACCACCTCGATTTCCTCTTTTATATGCAATACTATCGGATTTGATTTTTAAAAGAGCGGTATGAACACGTTTTGTAGATATTTTTAGTGTTTTAAATAAATCTCTACAAACAGTGGTACCATTTATTTTATAAACTCGGGTAAATTTTCTTTTTGGGTTTTCTTGCTGTTGGGTATATTGACGTTTTGTAGGATGTTCGTTTATATAGGCCTTTTCATCAAGTGATGAGCGCAAGCGCAGCCGCCATGTTGACATAGCGCCAATTCAAAAGTGTCGTACTGTTTTGATCAACAATGGCTGGAAAAGCAATATTATCTCTATACACAAATCAATCATTAGAAAAAATCGTTGATGGTGATTTACATATTTTTATAACTCTATGGAAGCACATAGTTTTGAGCAATTAAAAAGGTTCTTGAAGTGACGTGGACGTTAGGAAGAAGGAAAAAAGTGTGATTGAGAGGTTAGGTTTCAATATTAACTGTGTAAATTAATGAAAACAAATAATAATTATAAGTCTTTTCTAATTAATTATGCCAACCAACCAATAATTGCAAAAACACTTTAACATGAAAGTTAATCACGAGTATAATTAATAAGATAAATTATTTAAAATTTTAAGGATGAACATGACATTTTTAATAATATTACTGTGTATACCGAAGTAGTATTTAATATTAAAATATATTGTGTAATACCAGACAAGGATTTTCTTCTGTTGAACCACTTTCTCCATGAAAATGTAGTGAACAAATATAAGTATCTTTAGTACCTAACATCATCCGTCAATCGATCGAAAACCTTTGTCACTTCGACCACATTTTTTCACTCATAATGCTCATTTTGAACATGTTTTAATATGTATTTTGCCTAATTTGACAGTTTTTTACGATATTGCAGGCAAGTCTTTTTATAAAATATTAATTTATATCGTATGTCACTTTTACATACTCGTAACAATACCGTTTAGTTTTTCCTTTCCGTAATGATAACATAATTGATTGCAAAAATTGATTTTTCAATTAATACACTTATTACTTTTGAAAAAATACCGGTGTTACTTCCGAATATTTCTTTGGTAAAAATGTTCTGTAGCATATGTCGCTGGTGTTAGAAGAATTGGGTTCTTTTGTAGAAATAACTAACGAGTCATAGGTAGTAGAAAAAGAAGTGTTTTTAATTTACTATTTTCACTGAAGTAAATACATAGTGGTTGATTCCATTTAGATATAATAATTTTCTTATCTTCACTAAACAGTTTTAAATATTTACAATTTTAGTTCATCACAATTTGATTTACTAATACATTTGATTTTTTAGTTACCAACTTGAAAACATTTGTTTGTAGAATTTCTTATGCCATAACAATTGTAGAAGAAATAACTTTCACCAGAAAATAAAATGCATTAAACGCTTGTAAAAATGTAGACAGTAACGTGCCGTCGGCAGAAAGCACCTGAACGTTCGGATAGCAACGAAACTGTGAGCGATGATGGCAAAAAGACAACTGAACTCGTTTGTGGCAATAAGACAACTACTGAATGCCGTTCGCGTCGAGCTCGCCCTAATATATACTGTTCGACCGAAATGAGTGTCCGGGGCATAGTTGACGCACCTATTCGGTTTCAACCAATGAAAACATAATGACATAATGAAATACGTCATTTTTGCTTCGTTAACTATGCGCCGGACACTCATTTTGTTCCAATGCACCGCTGTGCACTTGAAAACACAGGTGTTCGACGTTCGGTATTCTGAGAAAAATGCTATTTATAGTTTTATGACTTCACTTTATATTAGGGTAAAAAGCAGTCGAACTATTTGAGAATTGTTTATTTATTTAGTAGATGTAAAATATTAATTTGTTGATGTTTTTACTGGTGAAATTGTAGAATTTAACCAACTTTACTTTTTTTATCCCATTTTTTTAAACGAATATGCTTAAAATTAATATTTATCGATTATAATTTTTTTCACGTGGACATTTTAGCATGCTTGTTTACAAAAATCAGTACGAAAAAGATGCGCACAAAAAAAATTGTGATGAAAAGGCCTATTGATGTACCCAAGTAGGTGGTTTGAGCATCATACGAACCTAGTTCCCAATCATGGCAGTGTTCTCTACAATGTGTGTTTTTGCATGTTCTTGAAAATTGTGTTTTGTTATATTCTATCGCTTTTTCTTTTTATATAATTTTTTACTTTCCTATCTGTATACAGATATAAGGAAAGTATAGGAATCATGATTTTTTCGACGGATTTTTACGTTTTGAGGTCCCCTGAATCCGTTTTGACTATTTTCGCGATGATGTCTCTCTCTCTCTCTCTCTGCGTGTGCTTGTGCGTGTGCGTGTGCGTGTGCGTGTGCGTGTGCGTGTGTGTGTGTGTCCAATGTGCTGATTAGATTTTGGGCAGTGTCGGAACATCTGGGGGGGTACTTTATAGGTGGTCATTTTTATATTTTATGGAATATATCTGTTATTTACGTTTGGGGAAGAAAATTCTTTAAATAAAAGTTACTTCTTATATTATTTTCTAAAATTTTTATTCTATACAAAATTTTCCTAAAATGGTCCGTATTCGAGAAATTTGACAAAATATAAAAAAATATTTTTTTATAAAAATTGTTCAAACAAAAGTTGTTTGTAATATAATTCTCTATAATTTTTATTCTATACATAATTTCTCTAAAATGGACCGTATTCGAAATATTTGAGAAAATGTGTAAATTTTGAAATTTGAAGAAAACTCAAAAACGGATAAGGAAAAAAACATTAAATTTTAAACTTAAGTTTTATTTCGGCCTGACGTAAAATGATTAGATTTTGGACAAAGTCGGAACATCTGGGGGGGGTACTTTATAGGGGGCCGCTTTTATATTTTATGGAATATATCTGTTATTTAAGTTTGGAGAAAAAAATTGTTTAAATAAAAGTTATTTCTAATATTATTATCTATAATTTTTGTTTTATGTCAAAATTTTCTGAAATGGTCCGTATTCGAGAAATTTGACAAAATGTGCAAAATTCTGATTTTTATGAAAATTGTTGAAATAAAAGTTGTTTGCGATATCGATCTTTATAATTTTTGTTTATACATGATTTTTCTAAAATGAACAGTAATGGAAAAATTGTAGGAAAAGTGCTAAATTTAAATTTTTCAGTATTTTCATTTTCAATGAATATCTATAGAAAAATGTTTCGAGGTAGATGTATGTGGAAAATGTATATATTTATTTTATCCTCTAAACATTTATGGAGGTGCTGCAATAGGTTGTACAAAATAACCGGAAAAAGCCTGTAATAACTGGATAGGAAAGTCATGTGTTGGACACATCAGATTTTTTAACTAATTATAATATTTATTAAGAACGCATTATTATTGTTATATATTATTTGTATTAAGTATTTAATTTAATAATATTAACTACTCGTACTATACTCATTGTCATGTTCATATTATTCATTAATTAATCATTAGTTAGTCTGCTAGCTAGTAAAATTAATTATTATTCATGTATATTATTTTTTATTATTATTGTTATTGCACATATTTACATTTATTATTATTGTAATTACTATTGGTATTATTATTAATCTTGAGTCTATTGTTATAATTATTAATTTTTATCAGCAATTATGGCGCTACTAATAAACAGGAGTAATTTCCGAGCACAACCTTATGGTTTTTTCGGACTGACCCATGTTTATTTACATTAAAAGATAATTTATTTGTAAAAAAAATATATGTAAGAAGTAAAATAAACATTATTATTATTCGTAGTTTTCAAATACCTTCGGATTAATGTGAACTCCTTTATAATTAAAATATGATTTGTTGCAGTTTTTATTTTTCTTCTTTATCACACGTGTCTGATTTTCATATGTTATTTTCCTTGCTCTGTTTGGTCCTCTTGTAACAGAAACCTCGCCCTGCATTGCAGCAGCTACTTCTCCTGGAATAGGAATTTCCTCATGTGCATCCTCCACGTCTGCTCCTGATGATGAGGTACTGGGAGGCTCATAATGGGCATCAGCTACACTATCATCAGAAAATCCTGTAGCTTCATCTTCAGAAGAATTTTCTGGTTCAATGTTA